AATGTCTTCAAAAAAAAGCCAGAAACTCCAGTTGCCTCCTGAAAATGCACCTTTGGGACAACCATGATCTGGATGACAGAGAATCTCCATAGACATATCCCAAATATTTTTTTTCCCAAAGGGCACTGGACTGTTCTTTGAAAACATTTCATTTTTCCTCCAAGAAGCTTCTTCAGTTCAGATATCTTGAGTTCTAAAGGAGCATCTTGAATGAGAAGCGAAACGTTTTCAAAGAAAACACCAAGAAAGTCTGGTTCCTTTTGGAGAAAACACCTTTGGGACAACCATGACTTGGATGATTGAGAATCTCTGTAGACACCTGCTGAAATGCTTCAAGAAGAGGTACTTGGCTTCTCTGTCACGTATCATAAAGCAGGGGTCTCCAACCTTGGTAATTTTTAAGATTTATGGACTTCAACTCCCAGAATGCCTCATGTCTGCCTGAGGAATTCTGGGAGTTGAAGTCCATAAGTCTTAAAATTGTCAAGGTTCCAGTATGTCTGGCTAAGGAATTCTGGGAGTTGAAGTCCATAAGTCTTAAAGTTGCCAAGGTTGGAGAACCCTGTCATAAAGCACCTCATTGGAAGAAGGACTGGCACAGCCTTAATCTCTCGGATAGAGATCCCTGCCTCATAATTAACATTATATCACACTAATCCATGCAAAACTCCTGCATGGAGCTGGGAAATACTGATGTGTGTTCATATGTGGACATCTCGGCCTTTCTCCATGGGTTATAGGAGATTATCCGTTTCTATCCTCTCAATGCCTTGTGAAGTAGATTAGTCTTATGTTTGCTGAAAGGTGTTCATTTTCATTTTAAAGCTGAGCAGAAAATGGAATGCCGGTCTCTTGTGATCCAAGCTAAGTTTCATGATTTCATGATGGGAGATAATATTGGAGATTCCCAGGTCATAGCCAACTCTTTGACGTCACCTTGGCTTCCCCAAGTCCCTAAATGCACTGGACTGGACAAGATGACCTATAAGGTCCCTTCTAACTCTGTTAATCTGTAATCTAAATACTGACCCAAGATAGCCAACACACTTGGAGCTGCCGGGTTGAGGAAATCTGTAGGGTCTTTGGTGTTCTCCAAGCTTGGTGAGTTTCCTCGCAGACGTTTTATTACCAGATTAGGTAACATCAGGGTGGATAAAAATCAATGATTTTTTAAAAAAAAATCAAAAAAATCAGATTCTTTTGATTTAAATTGGATTTTTTTGATTTAAATCGGATTTTTTTTTATTTTTATCAAATTTATTTTAATAAAAAACTTTTGGGGTAAAAATCTATCGTGAGATAGTTTTCTATTTAAGATACATAAATAATTTAGTTTATTCAACATGAAAGGGAGCTTAGTTACGTAGCATGAGGCTGTATATTCTGCAACACTGGGATTATCGGTGAGTCAACAGTGGGTCAAAGGAGTAGCAGAGATGACAGTTGCTCTTTAAAAATTATGATTTAAATCGAGTTGATTTAAATCAAGCCTTTTTACTAGTGATTTAAATCATGATTTAAATTGTGATTTAAATCAACTCGATTTAAATCAAATCCACCATCATCAAGCACCGTTGATGTTGCCTACTTTGGTGATGAAATGTTTGCCAGGAAACCTCCAAGCTCAGAGAACACCATGGACCCTACAGTTGAATCTGGAGCTACAAATCTTTTCTTCTTGAGGAAATGCAGTTTTAACTTTTCTCCTTACGTTCATTGTCTCCTTGGTCACTGAAGAGAGGAACATTCCTTCTTTGCACCATGCCGATCCAAGAACAGCTGGTAGAGTGTGGCCAAGTATGGAGCGAAAAACCCAAGTAGGGTGGGAGTTAGAGGACGGGTTAAGCAGGTGACGGAAGATCTGGAGTGCAAGAATATTGTTGAGATGCTGAAATTGAAGGTGAAAGTATTCTTGCATTTCCCCAGCCAGGCTTCGAGGGTAAAGCAATGTAGGGGCTTAGCATTCTTGCAACAAGGGGGAGGACAAAGAGGGCTGGTGAGCACCCAGAGTAGAGGTGTCCTTCACGGTAATGGAATCTCAACCATCTCAACTATCTTAAGCTCTCAACCCACCAAATATACAACATACTCTCCTCCTCCCTCCCCCCAATACAGATTTGACAGCAGGAGTTGAACATTAGAACATTTTTCTTTCTCACCCTATTCGTTTTCTTCTTTCTCCAAGATCAGAAAGTAGGATTCTTAAGAGGACCAAGGGGTGGGTTGCTGGGGGTTCGCAGGGGTTCGGGAGAAACTCTAGCTAAGATTCTGTGCAGTTTGGAGAACCCCCAAATCCTACTCCTGGCTGGGCCCGCCCACTTCACCCCACCCCGCCCCTCCCAGGAGTCCCCACGCGGCCCGTTTTGGATGCAGGTAAGTGCAGGGTGTGTACAGAGGCTAAGGAAGGGCGAAAAACAGGCCTATTAGAAGTTCGGGGAGGCTGGAAACAGGCCCGTTTCTGGCCTCTGGAGGGCCTCCGGAGCCTGGGGAGGACGTTTTTGCCCTTCCAGAGGCTCGAGGAAAGCCTCCGGAGCCCGGGAAGGGCAAAAATGCCCCCTCCCCAGTGCAGAAGACCGACTAGGCCATGCCCACCATGGCCACACCCACTCAGCAACCGGGCCGAGAACCCCTTGCTAAAATTTTTGAAGCCCACCCCTGAGAGGACCCGCTTTGGTTGATGTATCTGTGGGCAAAGAATTAGTGCTCCATTAATTCAGCTATTATTTGTACAGAAGGAAGTTCCATAGTTTGGGTGCAGGAATCTCCAATGAAAAGTGGCTAAAATCAGGCCTCTCGCTTGGCAGACACGAAACCTTTCCACAATGTCACCCTTAAATCAGTTACACCTAGTTACGAGCAAACCACTATATATTTATAAAAGTAATTACCTTTCCCATGTATTAATTTTTCAGGACTCCACTAGATAAGAGTACATTTCAAGGTGCTTATTATGATCCATTTATTCCTGTGGATAACAACAAGGAAAATGGAGTTGTTTTGAAGCAAAATATAAATGAAGAAAAATTGCTAGGCTTAGCTTCAGCTTTAATAATATTGACTTCCTTGATTTGATTATTCAATGGATCATTTTTTTTAAAAAAAATCTCTTGCAATCTTGTTTTGGTTGTATGCGTATCTCTGGCTTTCTGGCTCCCCATAAACTGAGCAAATTTTCAGTCCTTTTTTTTTTTTTAAATTTTGATTTATATGCCGCCCTTCTCCGGAGACTCAGGCCGGCTTACAATGCGTTAAGCAATAGCCTTCATCCTTTTGTATATTTATACAAAGTCAGCTTATTGCCCCCACAACTGGGTCCTCATTTCACCTACCTTAGAAAGGATGGAAGGCTGAGTCAACCTTGAGCCTGGCGAGATTCGAACCTGCAGTAATTGCAGGCAGCTGGTCTTAATAACCAGCTTAATAACAGGGTGCCTTAGACCACTGTACTACCAAGGCTCTTTGTCCTTCTCTGATTGATTGATCTTTCATGCTGAAAACAGCAAAAATGAAATAAATTAAAATCCTCTAATAATGGAATTCAGATGTTTCCTTTCTCACCGCATTTTTAATGGAGACTTCATTGCACCAGCCACATGCATGCAATTGGGAGAGACGTGTGTGATAAATCCTGATAATCTGCTTGTAAATGCAGGGGGTATGATGGAGAAATTATTAAATGAGCCAATAACGCAAACATGAGGGAATTTTAGTTTACTTTTATATGAAGTGCATTAGAGAAACATCCCACCATCTCTCGATAGCTATAATAGTTATGATAGGTAATACTTACGTAAAATTTAATTGGCAGTTTTCAGTGTAACACAGGCAAGAGGCAGGTAAAAACATGTATTATTTTTGTACTAATATATAAATATTGAGTTAGTTTGCAATTTCTGTTTGAAAACTATTTGTTACCGGTATAGCAGACAGGAATGGACTAAGTGGAGAGAGGGAGGGAGGGAGGGAGGAAGGAAAGAAAGAAAAAAGAAAAAGAAAGAAAGAGAAGAGAGGGGGAGAAGGAAGGAAGTAATAGAAAGAAAGAAAAGAGAGAAGGAAGCAGAGGTGGGTTTCAGCAGGTTCTGACCAGTTCTGGAGAACCAGTACTGGAAATTTTGAGTAGTTTGGAGAACCGGTAGTAAAAATTCTGATTGGCCCCGCCCCCATCTATTCTCTGCCTCCCAAGTCCCAGCTGATCAAGAGGAAATGGGGATTTTGCAGTAACCTTCCCCTGGAGTGGGGAAGGAATGGAGATTTTACAGTATCCTTCCCCTGGAGTGGGGTGGTAATGGAGATTTTACAGTATCCTTCCCCTGCCACACCCACCAAGCTATGCCACACCACCAAGCCACACCCACAGAACCTGTAGTAAAAAAAATTTGAAACCCACCACTGGAAGGAAGGAATAGAAAGAAAGAGAAAGAACAAAGGAAAAGAGAAAGAAAAAGAAAAAGAGAGAAGGAATAGGAAGGAAAAGGCATAACTCAGTTTCTTCTGCTTTAAAGTACATTTCCTTGGGAATAAAAACAAATTTTATTCTGACTCCCATGGATCAAGTTGGTTTTTGATAATTTTATATCTTGTGATAAATCAGTGTGTGTGAGAGAGAGAGAAAGAGAGAGAGAGAGAGATCATCCATCCATATTCTTACATAAAGTGATATTTTTAAATACACATTACTTATAATTGTATTGTGATGGCAATTTTTCATCTCATAACTTTCAAATATATATGGAGATACATTTCCTATAACTCTCTGCCTTAAGTTATACTGGCTAGCAATTTAAGCAGTTGTGGTCTTAATACCCTTGGTGGATACCAACATGGAGAAGGCTTTTTCTGAAAGCCGCTTCAGAGAACTTCAGACTGAAACCTGGAATGGAAATGCTTTAATAACGAAGTACTTGAACTCCGCGAACGTATTCGGTTCAGAAAGGGATGTTTTATCTTGATCGATGTATGAGCAGGGGTCTCAAACCTTCCCTTTGCTTTTGGGCCCACAGAGATACCTTGGCAGCAGAGGGGCTTTCCGCGACCAACACCCCCCAGTCTCCCAATTCGGAGGGTCACAAGTCCGACTCGCAGTCTGGCAAAACATCGTGGTTGAATGAAGTTAAGCTGCGGTTGAAGAACAGGTGAGCGCAAGGTTAATTCTGCCCAAATAAAGAATTCTGTTATGCCAGAAGACAAAATGGGATCTCTTAGTTTCTTTTCCGTGTTGGTCAGTTTTCACAAAATTTGGGAGACGTAAATCTAAAAGGAGGAAAGATTCAGATTACCGTATTTTTCGGACTATAAGACACACCGGTATATAAGACGCACCAAGATTTCGAAGAGGTAAGGAAGGGGAAAAAAAAGATTGTTGCCCTCCCTGGCCCCCAGGAGCACTCCGCAGGCCTCTCAAAGCCTCTGCGCGCTCTCTTTTTGCAAAAAATGGGTGCGTTTTTTTGCAAAAATGGGACGCGCGGGGCTGGGCTTCGGGAGGCCAAAAAAGGCTATATTCGGTGTATAAGACGCACCAACATTTCCACCTTCTTTTAAGGGGGAAAAAAGTACATCTTTACTCCAAAAAGTATGGTAGAAAGCCTCCAATTAACAGAACAGATTTATTTCTTTATTTGTCAAATTTAGGTACGATTCATCTCACTCTCAAAGTGACTCTGGGCGATGTATAGTTTTATATGATGTTTGTTTACACAGGTACTCCTTGACTTGCAACCACAATTGAGGCCCACATTTCTGTTGCTAAGTGAGGGAGTTATGAAGTGAGGTGGAATGTTTTTTTTGGTCTAGTTCAGGGGTGGGCAAATGTGGCCCTTTTACAACCTGTGGACTTCAACTCCCAGAATTCCTGAGATAGCCAAGCTGGCTCAGGAATTCTGGGAGTTGAAGTCCACAGGTCATAAAGGGGCCATATTTGCCCACCCCTGATCTAGTGGTAAAGGTTCTCATCTAGAAAGAAGGAGACAATATGTTCTCGTCTCGCCTTAGACGTGAAAACTGACAGGGTGACTTTAGGCCAGCCACCAGGAGATTGTGAGTTCTAGTTCCACCTTAGGCATGAAAAACGGCTGGATAACTTGGAGCCAATCACCAAGAGGTGGTGAGTTCTAGTTTTAAGCATAAAAACACGCTGGGTGATTTTGGGCCATTCACCAGGAGACAGTGAATTCTAGTCCTGCCTTAGGCATGAAAACTGACAGGATGATTTTAGGCCAGCCACCAGGAGACTGTGAGCTCTAGTCCCACTTTAGGCATAAAAAACGGTTGGATTACTTTGAGCCAATCACCAGGAGACTGGGAGTTCTAGTCCCGCCTTAGGCATAAAAACCAGTTGGATTACTTTGAGCCAATCACCAGGAGACTGGGAGTTCTAGTCCCGCTTTAGGCATAAAAAACAGTTGGATTACTTTGAGCCAATCACCAGGAGATTGGGAGTTCTAGTCCTGCTTTAGGCATAAAAAACGGTTGGATTACTTTGAGCCAACCACCAGGAGACTGGGAGTTCTAGTCCCGCTTAGGCATGGAAGCTGCCCGGGTGACGGGCCAGTCCCTTTCTCTCAGTTCAACCCACCTCACAGGGTTGTTGTTTGTTGTTGTGGGGAAAACCGGAGAAGGAAAAAGGAGCATTATGTTTGTTTGCTGCCTCGAGCTTTTTTAAAAAAAAATAATTTAAAAAGGGCAGGATAAAAATCGAATAAATTAGTACTAACCTTCACTCATAGGTCAGATGAATAGAAGAAATAGAAGAACAAAACTGGGTCATATGAAAAGAGACATCAGGGTCCTGCTGAGATAGATGGGTCAGATCAACTTCATGGTCCTATGAGGGAAATTCTTTAAAATGGAATAGACAAGAATCTTGCACGATTCCTTGCAAAGAGAGCTACAAAGGAGCAAAAGGCTGAGGGATGCCACAAAACCATCTCCACATGGGCATCATGTATGCCAAGAAGGACATTTCTATAAGGCCCCAGTGGCTGAAGAGAGTAGTGTATCTAACCTGGCTAAAGTGAAGGCCTAACAAATGTGTGGGATTCAAAAATTTTAGCAACGGATTCTCTGCCCAGTTGCTGGGTGGGCGTGGCCTACTCAGCCTCCTACACCACGGCATTTTTGCCCTCCCCAAGCTCTGGAGGCTTTTCTCAAGCCTCCAGGAGGGCGAAAACAGCCTCCCCCAGGCTCCAGAGGCCCTCTAGAGGCCAGAAACGGGCCCGTTTCCAGACTTCCATTTTTCGCCCTCCTGGAGCCTCCGCGCAAGCCCTGCACTTATGCGTGGAGACTCCTGGGAGGAGTGGGGTGAGGTGGGCGTGGCCAGCCAGTCCTTGCAACTACCGGTTCGGTGAACCAGATGTAAAATTAGCATCCGCTTCGCCCGAACCGGCTGAATCCCACCCCTCCTAACAAGGAAGGGAAGAGGACACCTGCCTATTTGCAAAAATTAAAAAAAAACACACATGAGTTTGGAGGATAGATTGAAACTGGAAATCAATAACCCAGATACTCTGCTCAAGATGACTCCTATCTTTGGCTCAAAGAGAGACCTGAAGTCTAGAACGTGCTGTCAACTCTTGTTAGCCAGGTTGATTGAAAACAGTTTTCTAAAAAGCAGGGGAGCCAGACCCAGAGGGAAAAAGAAATTAATTTAATCCAGAAATTAATGAGATATTTCCAGACTCTATCCCTCTTGGAAAGGAAGCCAATCCCTGATCTGTACTGTTGTACCTGTGGACTAGCTCAATCTGATTAGGAAGGAGATTATATTAATCTTTCATGTCCTGTTGACCTCAAACGACACTGTTGCTATCAAGATCCGTCTTCTCGGGAGGAGGAGAATGCGATCAGCAAAATGTTGGTCTTGCCCCAGGCAATTCCTGTAAGATCTTTCTCCGCTGTGCTCCCTCAGTGGAGAGCTGGAGAGAGGAGAAGGAGCAAACACGAAACCAGTGAACCTCTGGTCATGGATGGTGCTTCCTTGGAGTTGTCTTGGTGAAAGGACAGGTAGAAGGAGGCTCTGTGAGATGAAGTGACTAATGTTCCTAACAAAAGATTGAATCATTAAAGAACACTCAGGTTCAGCCCGGTTCTTTTTTCCCTATGTTTCCTTTTCCTTTCCTTTCCTTTCCTCTCCTCCCCTTTCTCCCTTCTTCTTTCTCCCTTGCCTTTCCTTTCTGTCCTTCTCTTTTTCCTTTCTTCCCTTTTCTTTCCTTTTTTTCCATTTCCCTTCCTTTCTTCCCCTTTCTCCCTTCTCCTTTCTTCTTTCTCCCTTTCCTTTCCTTTCTGTTCTTCTCTTTTTCCTTTCTTCCTTTTTCTTTCCTTTTTTCCATTTCCCTTCCTTTTCTTCTTTTTCCTTTTTCCTTCCCTTCTTTCTTCTTCCTTTCCTTTCCTCTCCTTTCTCCCTTCTCCTTTCTTCTTTCTCCCTTGCTTTTCCGTTCTGTCCTCCTTCTTTTCCTTTCTTCCTTTTTCTTTTTCCCTTTCCCTTCCTTCTCTTCTTTTTCCTTTTTCCTTTTTTCTTCCCTTCTCTCCCCCTCCCTTCTTTCTTCTTCCTTTCCTTTCCTTTCCTTTCCTTTCCTTTTTCCTTCCCTTCCCTTTCCTTCCCTTCTTTTTTCCTTTTCTTGCATTCCCTTCCTTTATTTCTTCTTTCTGTTTTTCATTGCCTTCCTTTCCCTTCCCCTTTTTTTTCCTTCCCCGCCCCCCTTTCCTTCCCCCCTCACCCTTGCAGAGAAACAAAGGTTAACTTGAATCTGGGAGCTATCAAACAACCCAGTTCCAATGCCTTAATTCAAAAGACCTACATTATTTGAAAGGGGGCTGAATTTGCTTCCGGAGATGGCTTTGACTCCCAAAAAGGCAAACTGTTTTTCAAACTGTATTGTAGGTTGCGTCTTTGATGGTGTGAAATGGAAAGAAAGCTTCAAAAGCACCTCGGTGACAAAAAAAGAACCTTACCTGGAGTTATTTTTGGTGCAACAGGCAGATATCTTTAGGAATTTTAGACTGTTGTTGGCCCTTTTTTTTCCCTTTTTGCTAAGGGAGAGTTTTAAAGTCGAAAGGTAAATAACAAATGGCATTCCTGATTTCTAGGCCTCCTGTCCCATTCAGGATATCCTGCTTTGGCTGCTGTTTTCTTTCTCTGATTCTCCTGCATTTTTCTTTCCCGTCGCTTAACCTGTTAGCAGGTGTGACCAGAACAACCAGTCCTGTAATTAGAGCTCTTTTCTGTCCCGAGGTGTTCTGAAATTATATTTATCTTTCCTTGCTTTTACTTCACGAGCACTAGTAAAGGTAAAGGTTCCCCTCACACATACGTGCTAGTCGTTCCCGACTCTAGGGGGCGGTTCTCATCTCCGTTTCAAAGCCAAAGAGCCAGCGCTCTCCGAAGACGTCTCCGTGGTCATGGGGCCGGCATGATTCAACGGCAAAGGCGCACAGAATGCTGTTACCTTCTCACCAAAGGTGGTCCCTATTTTTCTACTTGCATTTTTTTTTAACGTGCTTTTGAACTGCTAGGTTGACAGAAGCTGGGACAGGTAACGGGAACTCACCCTGTTACGCCGGACTCGGGATTCGAACCGCCGACCTTTCAATCGACAAGCTCAGCGTTTTAGCCACTGAGCCACCATGTCCCTTCACAAGCACTAGAAGAACTCAAAAGCAGGGTGTTTTTCACACACCCATATCGAAACAGCAAACATATGAAGCAGGAAAGGAAATAGGGGTAGTCCTCGACTCATGACCACAATGCAGCCCAAAATTTATGTCGCTAAGCAAGACAGTGGTTAAGCGAGTTTTTAACCAGCTTTTTTTTTCTGTGCTCGCCTTGAGTGCATTTAAGGTCTGTCATGGGTAACCTATCAGATGCCGTTGTTGTTGTTGTTTTTGTAGGGTAATTTGCAATTATACGTTGACCTTAGAAAAGGCAAAAATAACCACAGAAGTAAAGAGTTTGAGTTTTACTTGTGGCCATTTCTTGATTATTTTTACTTCAGGTTCACCACAGGGCAATAGGCGTTTTAGAATATTCAAGCAGAACAAATATCTAATATAGCGATAGTCTATATTACTTTATAAGCTTTCTATCAAAGAGAAATTTGCTCCCTTTTGTGTAGATGTAGCCTGAGGGATAGAGTTTCAT